TGTGCACTTTGAAGCCATGAACACGTCCACCACCCTTTTTTATTCTATATAAACACGAACCCACCCACAAACTATATTCTAATCAATCGTTTGGTTTTGCTATACTTTGCGGGACTTGCAGTTCAGTTTTTGATCGGTTTTAGAATTAAGATTTGAAGAAATGGCGCAACATGGAGAACGATATGGCGTCCATGGTCGGCAGACCGACGAGTATGGCAACCCAATTCGTCAAACAGATGAGTTTGGTCGCCAACTCGACGAATATGGCAACCCAGTTGGGGGAACCATGGGAGAGTTTGGAACCACTGGCCAGTACGGGGCCGCCACCGGCACCGGAGGAGATTATGGAACCACCGGCGCTTATGGCACCGGCACTGGCATGGGACAGTATGGAACCACAGGCGGACACGGCGTAGGTACTGGCTTTGGCAGCGGGGAGCGCCGCGAGGGCCAGGGTCTAGGCGAAGGGCTGAAGGAAAAGATAAAGGAGAAGCTGCCTGGCGGGCACAGGGAGAGGGTGACCCAGTCCACTGCCACTACTACTCCGGGAGGAGATTATGGAACCACCGGCGCGTACGGCGTAGGCACTGGCTTTGGCAGCGGGGAGCGCCACGAGGGCCAGGGGCTGACGGAAAAGATAAAGGAGAAGCTTCCTGGCGGGCACAGGGAGCGGGTGACCCAGTCCACTCCCACTATGACTCCGGGTTACGAAGGACAGCGCGAGGAGAAGAAAGGAGTGATGGAGAAGATCAAAGAGAAGTTGCCTGGACAACATAATGCTTAGTTGCCTTTGGCATATGGTTATGTATATGTTTCATGCCCGGGATGTATAGGGTTGTTTGTACTTCGTTTGGGTTACTAGGAGTTTGTCTAGTGCAGTTGGTGATCATCAGGGGTCATCAACTATAGTGTCTGATACAATAAGCAGTGCTTTGTTTTTTGTTTCGAGCATCTGCGAGTATGTACCATGTATTGCCTATGCGTTGTACTGTGATGTCTTATGGTGTGTTTTCCTGGACGCTATATGAATATGGATGGTATAATTATAATTTTAGTGTACTTATTTCTATCAGGAAGCACCCGAACCAGCAATTACAAAGATGGGTGGCTTCATCAATGGTGCCATTTTATGACCGATCTAAGATACTATTAGAGCAACAATGAGTCAAGTCATGCAGTACCTTCAACTGAGTTAGACCATTCTGGCATGTCAAGAATATAACGTGGCCACATTCAATCTTCCCCCCAACTTCCAACTCCTGAAATACATTGTAAAAAGGTAAGAGAGTAACGCTACAGTTCTAATCTTATACAATACTACAAAGACTAGATTAATATGAAATCTCGGAATAATTAGGACGTACTAAGGACGTGTTGGAATTACTTCTTCAATGTTACTCTGGATAGAAAACAAGTCTGACCCCGGTTAATTGGAGGCAAGAGGGATAAGATCACATAGTCTCAAATACACAATGCAAGTAGAGGATAAGATTAAACACTAACACTAAAAAATTTCATCCAAGATGATTACAATCATACTCAAGCGAGACACTTTACTTAATCCAAACACTGGAATGCATATACTATATATGTAAGTTCGAAACATAACTCCTATCCTTACATTAGTTTACCACTACCATCACTACTAAGCTAAAATATAAAGAGACTACTACTCTGTACTTGGAGAATTACCATCACTACTAAGCTAAAATATAAAGAGACTACTACTCTGTACTTGGAGAATTAACTCACCACTAAATCTTGGATTTCATTCCTTGCATACTGATTGCCCTCCCTCTACATTTAGCATTAACACACGCCAAACTAATAAATATGAACTCCAAAATCAAATTTATATTCCAACAAGATGGAACTTGACAACATTAAAATAGAGTTGTACATTCCCTTTGCCAACAGATCAGAAAAGGAATTTGTTTGTTCCATACCAAATATTGTACGAGAGAAAAAGAGGATGCACAGAGGCACCTGAATCAATGACACAAGTGGGACATGAGGTGTCAATAATAGCACTACACGGCTTGTGAATGATCTTGTTTTTTTTTTCTTGATTGTAACTCTCAGTGGTGTCGTTTTGCGGCTGGTGTATGGACGTTTTGTCCATATTACCATTATGTTCTATATTTTTCATTTACATAAATAAAATTGTTGCCTTTTATAAAAAATACAAATAAAAATAGCACTAGACGGAGTGAAGTAACTATACCAGATTGGGTAAATGTGGAAGGCCAATGTTCCCTGCAACATATATTCTTCAGAATATTGGCCATCTCTTGTGAGAATGAACCAGCTGATTTCACTTCACATGAGATATGTATAACAGTTGATACTCGCACAGCAAACTCATAAGCGGAAGCACACCAGAGTGACCACCCATACAAGGCTGACGTTGCCCGAGTTAGGTTGTATACCATCCAGCATCCAACACGTCTCTCCAGTTTGCTTTAAACCCCCATAGTAACCATATTTCCCTTTGTTCTCAACTCCCCTCCTCCAAGCTGAGATTCTTTACTTCCCATGTGAGTCCAAGGCATTAACATTCAGATGAGAGGTGTAATCTTGAATTGTCTTGTCTTGCCATTCCAAATTTCTTCATGGTCAGCCACGCTAAGGGCTATGCTCACCTCAAACAATGGCTGTGGTTACTACCTTCTGCATCTACAGACAAAATTAGGAGAAAAAAAAGTCGGGTAACAAATCCCTGCTGGAATTACCAAAAATTACCACAGGAGCACGTTCCATCACGGAAATGGTGGAATCTCATGTTATCCCGGATGACTATCTGCCTGCTGGTGATCTTGGATGCACCACACATAACTAAGTGGCAATCCTCGCATATCCTGAGATTTTTCACAATTCTAATTGTGCAGCCAGCATCTGTACAGAGCAGCCCATATGCCAAGGCTAGCTTCTCACTGTGAGCCATTAGTATCTGCTTCTTGTCTTCATCACTCACATCATAAGGGGCAGAACTCAAGTTTGGCTGGTATCCATCAAACTTTAGTCTCTCTAGAAGATCCTTCAATGCCCGCTTAATCTCTCCTGTCTTTGGATGGGTCATATCACCTGCATAGAACTCGTGAATTACCCCCTCCTTGCCTTCAACCAAGCTACATGCAGGATTCTTCTTTAAGCCCTTTCCTCTCATTAACTTCCGTACCCTCAAAACGTCTTCCCATCTTCCTGCTGATGCATATATGTTGGAAAGCAGGATGTAGTTTCCGATGCCATTAGGTTCAAGCTCAAATAAATGGTTAGCAGCAATTTCAGCGACATCAGGATTCCCATGAATGCGAGAAGCTCCAAGCAGGGCTCCCCAGACACCACCATGGGGCACCATTGGCATGGTTCTGATAAGTTCAAGGGCTTCTTCCAAGCATCCAGCCCTGCCAAGGAGATCTACCATGCAAGCATAGTGATCAGCAGACGGTTCGACACCGTAACATTTTCCCATAATCTGAAACAAGTGTCGACCTTGTTCTACCAAGCCGGTATGACTGCATGCTGTAAGAACCCCTACAAATGTTACCTTATTAGGCTTTACCTCTGTCTTCAGCATCTCTTCAAACAATTTTAATGCCTCACTAGCAAAACCATGCATCGCAAACCCAACAATCATTGAACTATAAGAAAAAACATTTTGTTCCCTCATCCTCTCAAAAACCTTATATGCATCCTCCAAACTCCCGCACTTCGAGTACATATCTATCAATGCTGATCCCACTACAACATTATCAGCAGGTCCAAAACCAGACTTCTCAGCAACATCCCGAACCCAATTTGCATACTTAGCCGCACCCAACTGCGCACTTGCCGAAATTGCACCAGCCAAAGTCACCTCATCCGTTTCAATGCCTGCATTTTGCATTTTCTCGAAAAACTCCAATGCCTCCATCGGCCTGGAATTCTGCGCGTAGCCTGTAATCATCGCTGTCCATGCTACCATGTCCTTCATGGGCAACGCATCAAACAGCCCAAGAGCATTTTCCATATCTCCACCTTTCGCATACGCAACAATCAACGAAGTCCAAGAAATCACATCCCTGTCAGGCATTTCATCGAACACCTTCCTCCCACAATCCAGACACCCACATTTCACATACATATCAATCATAGTATTACCCACAAACAAATCCAAATCCAAGCCGCCAATCCTAATAACCTGACCATGAATTTGTCTACCCAAATCCACGTCATTATTAACACTACAAGCCTTTAAAAACGCTGTAAACGTGAACGAAACAGGACTAACATTTTCTTTTCTCATAGAACTATAGAAAAGTAGTGATTTTTCAAATGGTCCTTGAAGTAAATACCCACGAATTAATGCCGTATAAAGAAATGGGTTCGGTTGCTTTACCTGGTCGAATATAAGACGTGGGTATGGGTCCATCGGGGCCTCGATTTTCGTGAGCATACGAAGGAGTTTGGTGAGAACAAAGCAGCATTGGTCGAGGCCTTTACGGATAATGTGGCTGTGAACTTGCTTGATTTGGCTGAGTTCAGTGCAATTATGGAGAACTGAGATGAGCTCTGATTCTAAGAGCTTTCGTTCTTGGAGTTGAGAGAATGGTATAAAGGGTTGGTCTGGTGTTTTGGGTTCTTGTGGTTTAAAGCATTGTCTGCGGATAAGAATTGAAGGACTAGTTGTACTGAACTTTTGAGGGAGAGAAACCATTACACGATTCGAAGTCCTTTTCTTAGCTTACAAACAACAGGGACACAAATTGTATGTAAGAGTGTCTCGTCACTGTGTGACTGTGTGTATGCATGTATGATAGGTGTAGCAGATGGAGAAGTACACGGGTTGTACTTTTCTGGGGTTACTCTCTTTTGGCGTCGGGACTTGAGTTTCGCAAATACCGGGAAGTTTAAATAATTTTTTGGGTTAATTATACTGAAACTCTTAAAAATATAAAATTTGCTTTTTTTTAATTTTTATTATTTTAAATATATTATTATAATATTTAAAATATTAAATATCTACGGTCACTAATATACATCTCATTTTCTCCCAAATACAACATTTTTAACCCATAATTTTTTAAAAAAAACCGACCCACTCAGTCACTCCACCAGACAAGCCATTTTTTG